AAAAATTATAAGGTGCCGCAGAAAAGATCATCTAAAAAAATTACATTAAGAACTGGGGTAAGATTAGTTAATTGGATGGGAGAGAACAAAAGGTTGTTAGTATGGAGTTTATTCAAACTGGAACTTTGTTACTAGTGAGGTCAATTTTTCAGTTTTTGCTTTTACTTATTTATAGTAAGGATGATAATAGAAATACGATTAGTACATTATGCTGATTACATGAAACTCTTGGATATTTTTAGCAGTATTGGGAATGTTGAGATACTACAGAACAACTTAGATTAATTAGTAACTTGGAAAAATATTTGGCAAATGATCTTAAGTTGTAGTGAGTGTAAGGCATTTGGGCTATCATAACCTGGATCACACATCTTACATAAATTGGAATCCACATACTAGCAAAACTGAAGAAAAGGATTTTAGCTATTGGAGGTGGATAAGTCACTCAAACAATTACTGTGGTGTTCTATGGTAGTAACATAGCTAACAGAATTGTAGAGTGTTTTTATTGACAACTTAATTACATGTGCAAAAATGAAAATAACTGACTCTGAATAGTATGTCAGGTAGTATTTTAAAGTTAGAGCTTCCCTAAGTTTGAATGTGAATGATGAATGACCAGTCACATGATTATAACTAGTAACTCTGTGTAAAACTAGCATTAGAGCTGAGGTAACAGACATTAAATTTAGACACTCTTTTAGATTATTTCAGCTTGATCAGTCTGAGAGATCATTCTATTCAAGTACAAGTGACAGTCCATTGTGAAAAAGAAGTTTATACACTGTGTTTGTGGTACCTTGTATCAAAGATCATGCTCTTTGTGTTTTGAACTATGTTCATTCTGTTTCTTTGTTTTATTCTCGTGAACTTATTTATTTAAAGAAACACATTAGTACTTTGTAATAGTTATCATGACAGAACTTCCGCTATTCAGTAGACCTATCCCACTGCTATAGGAATAATCAGTTTTACCTGAAGTTTTCACACTTAAGATGATTCAGGGGATGGGAGAGTTATCTTAAGGAATAGCTTAAGGTTTGTTAACTCATTTTATCCTGAGAAAAGAAGGGTAGTTAGTGATTTAATAAAATGTGTAAAAATGTGTATAAGATTATCAGTTTAATCAATAGTTTAAAGCATGTGATTACTTTGTGCTATGCATTTTTCAGAATAACAGTGAAACAATAGACCTGTACTGTGGTATATCTGAGTTTAGAGACAAGTTGCATCATAGTGTTTGGAAAGAATTGCTCAGTGCTGCTGTTAAGGCTGTTAAGAAAACAGTGGAGGTGAGATAAAAACCAGACATGTTTTTTTTATGTTTCTAATGCCAGTGAATTATATATCAACTATTTGACAGTAAATGTTCTTTGAAGTAAGGGATATGTACAATAGTCAAGCAATGGTTTGTTCTTTGCAAAAGTTATTTTTATGTACAAGATGGTAGCCTATGAATTTTAAGGATTGTGTGTTTGCTAATTCATTTTGTCACATTGATTAAGCATATTTCAATTTATACACTTGAAAATGTATTTGAAAAAACGTTAGAAATAATTAGAGCTACATGAAATTTTTTTCGTTTTAGTATTTGTAAGGAAATAAAAATTTATTGAGACTCCCATTTTTTTCTTATTTGTTTTAAAAGTATTTTTAATAATATAGGTGCTGTTATATAATTTGAAAAAGAATGTTTGAATGTAGCATTCTGTATGTCATGGTTAAGTAATTAGATATTCATGTGCTTTATACACTTATTAGTTAGATTTTAACAGAAGTTATAGCAACTTGTAAAATGTGTAGTGATCTACATATTACTCCACATGACCTCCATACACTTCTGGAGGCATATATATATATATTCATCAAATATATTAACAAACATTTATTTTGAGTTGCATTAGTTATTTCTCTAATACAGTTATTGAGATTAACAAGTGTAGCTATTCTTAGAATGTTAACCCACAGCAAAAATCCCAACAGTTTCATATTTCCAATCAAGTTCACATGGTTTAGTAGACCACTATTCATTGTCCCATGAACATACGGTGCAAAATGGGGTTGTATACTGTTAAAAGGTTTAAATTCCAATTATACTATTAGCTTC